GTCCTAGGGCCCGCCACCTGTCCGACCAGGATGTTTACGTTCATAGATGATCTGACCTTTATTAGGGTCGGCAGTGATAGGTATGACTGTCAGCCGGGCCCTAGGGCCCACCGTCTCTCTGAACGAGGTTCAAGGATGCAGCAATGTTTTCGGGCCAGGCATTGTCGTGCCATAGGCCTTACCAAAAAAAGAAAAAAAACGGCCACCACAGGGCACCCGACGTCACTTCACGTAAGGACGTCCGACTAGCAGTAGCCCTCGGGATGATCACTTATGGATCCCATCCGTTAGGTCTTGGGGTAGGTCCCCATGTCTTCAGTAGAACACCCTTTTCGTCCCTGCGGGGCCACATCATATCTAGGATACCAATCCCACACACGAATTCATAGATTAACTCATAGATCTCGTGTTTGCTTACTTTAGGGTAGAGTAAGTTCGGAACACTGAGAGTTGTGTTAAGGGAACTCAGTTTATCCGTGAGGGGTTTCCTTTCGGCTGTGAGGCGAGCACAGTCTACTAAAATATGAGTAGGAGACACGCCCGAGCCGCAATTGCACCTTATAGGCTTAAAGGTACGATATCTGAGCGTTTCTTTCACCTTCAGCTTTATTATCAGACAGATTTTCCTACCGGGATGGTTTACAGATAACTTAGCATTTTAAGGACTCATCGGATCTGAATCTGTATGTGTTGTGTTCCGCAAGGGAGTTTTCCCATTCAGAGCTGACGCGTAGCCCGATCATACTTTTAAATTCGTTCATGCTATAAGGGGAGCTCGACACTAGGTTCTTTTAATTGTGACCCCTTTAGGGCGAGTCTGTCCGCCTCTTCGTCCCCCTTAGGTATATATGCGACGGGACCCATGTCAATACTATCTGGTTGCCATTTGCCAAAGGCAACGCTAGGTAGATCTCGGTCAGCAGTTAGGGACGGGCGTCCGATCTCTGATTTCTTATGGATTCCAGACTACTTAGGGAGTCGCTGAGGACAACATAGTTTGATTTCCTTTGGCTGGATATCCACACTACGGCTTCTTTGATCGCATACATTTCCGATGTGTACACAGAGCACATGTTTGGCCGTCTATTTGCTGCCTGTAACTCTTTCCCCGGGATATATATCCCGAAGCCCGTCGTAACGTTCTCGGGGTTGTGCGATCCGCCCGTGTATATGCGAGTCCAATTTGACCAGTTATCCTCGATGTGAGCTAAGGTGAGATGCTTGGCCGCCAATGGGTTATTCCCTTTGTCTACCCTCAGAACGAGTGTGGTATCTACGGGGGGTACTGAAAGGGTCCAGGGGGCCCCTAATCGTATCTGCTATACTATTAATGATGAGTTTATCGAGACCGTAGTCTCTAACCATTTCGCCGACTGTCTGACTTCTTAGTGTTGTCCCTAACTCTTGTGAACCTGGAGATTTCGCTAAAGGCAGGAAACCTTTACCCTAATCGGCTTAGTTTGACCCAATGCCCCAGGGTCAGTATTTTCCTTCGTAGTGACAGAGGAAGTTCGCCTACATCCTGTAGCAATGACTCAAGCTTTACGCCCATGCCACAGCCAGTAGCAATACAAATAGCTTTGTATTGTATGGTGTCCAGTTTACTTAGTGTAACGGGTCTTGCATTTAAGAATGCCATGCAGCCGTAGTCTATTGCAGGACGTATCAGAGAACGGTAAATCATCATGGGGGCAACCCTGTTCGCTCCCCATTCATGGTCCGTGATATTCCTCATTAAGTTCAGAATGCGGTCTCTATGTCACTTTCCTATCAAAAATTACACCATGGAACTTGGTTTCGTCTTTGAATTCTATGAACTGAAAATTTAGCTGCAGGGACATCCGGGGAACCTCGGGGTCCTTGCATACTAGCTACCTACAGTTTTTGGGAACGAGATCTGGAAACCCCAATCGTTTGACCAAAGGGTGAATCCGCCCAAGGCTCCTTGTATACGTTTCTGTACCTGAGAATTTAGGCTACCCTTTGTCCAGAGGATGCTATCATCCGCAAACGTAGCAAGTGAAATATCTTTGCCGAGATATTCTTTGATGTCGTTCACCATGGTAATGAACAAATTTGGGCTTATAACGGAACCCTGGGAAGTTCCGTTATCCAACCCTGTCTCTTTACTGAGGTATTTACCGAAATTGACCCTGATTTGTCTTGACCCAGTTGTACATGTTGCCATGCACGCCCACCAAGGACAGTTTGTGTAACAGTCCTTCTGTCCAGACAAGGTCGAAGGCTTTTGACAGATCAACAAAGATGACACAGAGGTATGATCCGCCTCTCGTGGCTGTCATCATGGCATGTTGAAGTCTGGAAATGTGATCGTACGCCACAGACTGGGTATCTCGCTTTTCCGCCAAGAGAGGTTAAACCGGTAAAGGACGATTTTCGAAGCATTTTCTGGCAGATTTTTTAGCATGGAGTACTTGACCCCGTCCGGCCCCGAGGCGCTGTCTTTTTTAGAGGACAGTGCTTTTTTATACTCTCTCAGGGAAAAGGGGGCGTTCAGATCTGAGCATCCCAACGTTCGCCGCCTTTCGGCTTAAACTTTTCTTTTTGTGGATCGAAGTCTTTTTTCCTGTCGCTAAATTCAGGCGTGAGGTTATTATTGCTACTCGCCATAGTAAATGTTTTAGCCAGAAGTTCGGCCTTTTCTGCGCAGCTCTGTGCATGCCGCCCTAGTCTTTCCATTCACAGTATTAATTTTCTGACACGCCTCTTTTCTTGTAAGTATATAACCGACTACATACTGGATAATAATGGTCCAATTTAAATTTTATTTTAGATTTTCTGTAGTTACCTAACCCTGTCTGATTTACCTCCCTTAATGTTATGCCTTTATAAATACACTTACATAGTACGATTTCTTCAACATACCTGTTTTGCATTTCTTGTGTGGGGTATTATATTAATATATTATATATTGTACAATTACATAACTTTATAATTCCGATTAGTCGCTAGAACTTATGGTTTTTAAACTTTTAACGTTATTGTATCTGGATTATCGCCCTTATTATTGTGATTTTTTTATCACCTTAGATATGACGTCATTCTCAGTCAGCAGACGGCTGTCCCTCGAGACAGTCTACATTTCGTACTTGCTTCTTTGTATTCAGTTTTGTTTTTGTTTTTTTGTGACGATGGAACATGTACCCTGTATGTATTGAATACTGAAGCGTTTCTTGATTGAATTAAGAGTTTAGACTACTTTTTTTATACATTTCACCGATGTGGTTACTTGTATAGTTGAATTTTACTATATACGCTTACATACGTATTTTGTGTAGCATATAGCAGATCATGACTCATGCTGGCATTACACAATGGGTTGTATTCCTAATTGTTTTCAAATTTGAGAAGTCTGTGCCACTACAGACCCGGGACTGTACAGCTCAGTGGACGCTTACGGCTAGCCCCCGGATCCATTCACTTTTTTTTAATTGTCTGTATGTTTGTGTTTTCCTGAGTATATGTCCTGTCCGTGTATTTGTTTTTGTGTAAATTTTGTGTGGTGCATTCCCCCTGCACTTTTAGAGTTTAAATTTGCATTCAGGGACTAGCAGTAGGCGTGCGAATGTTGGGTTTGACATTGTTTGATGACGTCTCTTGCCGCATACTTCGCCCTTAGGTATGCGGACCACGTGGCGGGAGAGGTGGCGTTGGCACTTTCGTAGGCATCTGCGTCGTTCTCGTACTGCGACTTGACAAGAATCGGACCACCAAGGTTTGCGAGACTTTTCAGACTGGGTACCTGTCAAGGGGATAGAGGCCGTGGCAGCCTCTATTATAGCATTGGTTACGTTCGCGGCATACTTTTCAGTATCTTCCGCAGCCAGTTCCTCTTCCCTCCACTCTCGACAGAGTAGATTGAAGCTGCCTCGGTTTGCTTTCAACATCTTCCATCTTGGATTTCGATCAATATTGCCTCGATATGGCGACTTGCTGAGAGTGATCGTTACCGCCATATGATCACTGCCAAGCATTTCGTCACACTTTGTGGTCCAGTCGCAGTAACTTGCAATGGGTGGGGATGCCAACGTTAAGTCTATATGAGTTGGGTTTACATCCCGGTCTAAAGTAGGTTGGACTGCCGTCATTCAAAGTGCGGAGTCCATTGTCTTCAATAAAGCTGTTCAGAACACTGCCGCTACGATCAGCTTTCGATGGGCCCCACACAGCGTTGTGCATGTATCATTAGCCATGCTGATATATTTATACATGTTGTATGAAGCCACAGTAAACTAAATTCAACTATCAAACATCCTAACTCTCTTTGAAATGAATTGTCTGCCATTAGTCGGCCATTTTGATTTCTTTCCCTTTGTTTTAATCACGCGACATCAAATAGTCACCGTTGATCTATTTGTTACGGTTAATTAATATGATTAACTAATGACTTGAGATGGGCTTCATTATCGGCAATTATCAATCAGCCACTAATAAAAAGGAATCGCCAGTACCCCAAAACTGTATCGCCAAAATCAAAATTTAATCGCACTTTCATTTTTTTTTATCGCAAATTGCGACTTTGGTGACCGACAACGTGAGCCCTGCGTGCAGGGTTATGTCGCCTACTTTAGGTCAGAACCAAATTAATAATATGCTTTGGGATAAATTATATTTTCCGAAACCAAGCGAATCGCTACCTCGGGTCCACGACGAAGTAGGAAATTCCCAAAGATTAGACGCGAGGCCAGTCGGAAATAATTTAGCGCCGCGTTTTTATCTTTCAAAGAGGAAGACAAGCGGGGATTCGGGAATTATTTTACTTTTACGGATGGAAACCTATTACAAAAATGCCAAGCGAAGCGAACGGAATTTTTCAGACTTTGCGTTACTAGTACATATTGTCTACCTAATGGGTAGTATACAATACTGGAGGGGTCATTCATTGATTGATTGCTGTCCGAAATTTTTCCCATATTGACATGATCTTGAATTCAATAAATATCAAATATTCTAAATTACTATTATACATTTTCTTCCAGAACAAAGTAAAAGTATAAAGGTTGTATCATGTGATGCTGTATCTAACTCTGGTTTAAAACATGCAGTCTTAAGAGGAGGGTAAGTAAATCTTAAACAACAATGAAATGTGGTTTGAAATTGGGAGGGAAAAGAAACCTGGTATCTTTTGCAACTACAATATACCGGTTTGGAAACCTGTTGTGGTCGATCAGAATCAAACTCAATCACGATGTCGAACTAGAGTTGACCTTTGTTGAACCATAATGACTAAAGTGTATATTTCAAGGTGTGGAGATGGTACCGTGTTTAAGTTAAATCAAGGTTTTACAACGATTGGCAATGAAATAAAGAGTCCATATTTTCCTGCCTTCCGTTTGCAGACCGGCAACCAGCTTTCATTCCGATGTAATTTTACAGTATGTAGCGGTAAATGTGAAGGGGTGAGTAAAATTGAACATTGTAACAATCATGCATTAGGATTGCACTTCTAGACTTGTTTTGCTGTGAATGGAATTGGCCATAGTCTAGTAAAGGTAGTTATGTTTTATACATCTAAGTTACTTGTAACCGTCAATTAGATTTGTCAGGGACCGTACAATATAAAAATATTTATATTTTCATAAAATTTCGTCATTTCTCATAAAATTATCTTAAAATGGAAAAACATCATCAATATTAAATTTCACTAGTTCTCATAAAATCATAAAATGAGATGACAAATTTTTCAAAATATAAAATCCGGATGTGAAGAAAAAAATCATCTAGGCATTTACAAATTATCTGAAATCTTTCTGCGTCTACGGCGCTCGATCTCCTTCCACTCCTGATCTGTGGTCTTATACTCCCTCATCACTATCATAATACGGTTATAGTGGATCGGCCAGTTAGTAATACCACTAGTGAGTGGGTCGTGGGGCGACAGGCTGTACAAATGTTCAGTCAACTCTCACAAAACAGGCGGAATTGACAGGCAGGACTCGAGATTGTCCCATTTCTTATCCTGTCATTCACAAGAATTTGCTCGCATCAATGAATTTAGGCCCAGTACCAAGAAATTAAAAGCTTAATTACTCAGCGCTCGATTCCATTATAGCGTCATCCTTCCTCCACTCCAGTGATCTTTTACCATACTATCTCATCACTACCATATGCACAGTGAACAGCCCATTTAACTCCCACAAAACAGGCAGATCTCAAGATTCTGTCACATTGACTCCCATTTCTGATCCTTTTGTTCACAAGAATTTGCTCCCAGCAATGACCTCAAAAGCCAGGATATTGACTTAAATTTTCCTAATTTTCTCAGAAGGATGACCCCCCACCCCCCCTTAGGTGGTTCAGTGGTTTTCGGCCAAATATTCACTTAAAGTTTTCATAGAAGTATACATTTTTTGAAAATCTGTACAATGTAATTAAAATGACTAATTCAAAAGAATTTGTGACCATTTTTGGGGTTTTTAACGTTTTATACATAATCATTAGGGTGTTTCACCTTTTTCGTAATTTTTACCCGTCACCTGGGGGTCACGGTGGCTAAGTGGGTAAGACGCTGGCTTGCTAGACTGGAGGTCGGGTGTTCGATCCCTGCATTGACCGAGAAAGTTCATCCAGATTTCCCGGCGTGGTGGTCAGTGCTGCAGGACGGGAGGGCCTGACAAGGACAGCTGTCTAGTCGTTCGGATGGGACGGAAAACCCAGGTCCCGTGTACACATTGGCGTGCACGTAAAAGATCTCTTGACAGTTGGAATTCGATATAAGAGTAGACCGTAGTACCGCTGTCCGGGCAAAATTTCCCTCATAGCACACTGTATGGCGTATGCCCGTCTTCATTAGCCAGCTCACAGTAGGACGTTTTTTACTACCCGTCACCGATGTCCACTCGGGGTCAAACTTACTTGTAATATATTCACAATGCTGACCGACATTCATTGTTGGGTGGGATTGTGGATGATGCCTTAGATTTAGAACTGCCCCCCCCCCCAGATCCGCTACTGACTGCCAATGCAGTTATATATATAAAAAATAATAATAACAAAAAAGTCATGAAATGTGATAAAAACATTATAAAAATATCATAAAATTTGATAAAAACATACAAATCCTAAAATTCCACTAGAAGCTTTCATAGAAATAACAAATTTTGAGTAAAATCTATTGTGTACAATGTAATTAAAAGGACTAATTCGGACAGTTCAAAAAGAATTTGTGACCATTTTTTTTGTTTTTAACGTTTGAGACATAATCATTAGGGTGTTTCACTTTTCACCTTTTTCGTAATTTCTAAGGTTTCTACCCGTCACCGAAGTCCACTCGGGTCAAACTTACTTCGTAATATTTTCACAATTTTCTTGCCAAAAATGGCTGCCAGCGGCCATTTTCTTCCGAAATTGTGGCGATTTTCGGGATTTTGGACGTTTTGAACTTAAAAGATAACTTAGAAAGGTCAGGTATGGCTTGTAATGTGTCTATTTTATGCTTTTCAGGGATGTAGAGTCCATTCCCACCGTCTTAAATGAGATTGTCAAAATCCAAGTTGGTCCCAAAAATCGTCTATCTTCGTGACATGGAAAAGCGTTTTTTAAAGACTACAATTTTGCACTCGTAAAATTCATTATTAGGGCCAAAATGATGTTAAGAATGACACTGATCTAGCCAGATCTACCTTTGGTTGAAAATGGAAATTAATTGCTTATTGGTTGTTGGTAAAAGTGACCTCAATCGTCTACTCATCAACAGTTGCGACGGAGGTAGTCCGACAGAACTATGGCTGAACAAGGAAATTGTATACCATGTTTTTTTAGGGTTGATTTTAGTAGCCTAGGGTGTCTTATTGGTGAATCTTGGCCACCCTTAAGCGTTTTGAAAAAATTCCAGATGGCGTCCAAGACGGCCGGCATTTCAAGTAATCCCATATAACTAGCATAGTATTTAGTATAGGATGATAATTTTGGTGTCTAACCGTATGTTTTGGGGGTCAAGGAATACACCAAAACCGTTCATTATGTTGTGGGGTGACTAGATGATAGTAAAATCCAAAATGGCAGACAATATGGCTCTTTAACTCGTTAGCGGCGGTTGGGGCGATTATTTCACGAAACTAAATTATATTTAGAGATAATCTATATATTTCTGGATTGGAGCATATGAGTGATGCGATAACACCACATACATGCCTATCAGGAGCTCCAGGGCCACATGACAGACTCTGGAGCAAAGTGGTCGGTTGTAATGTTCTCAGTTTAGTAGCCTTTACCCAGCAACACAGTTCCGGATTAAGTTCCCAGCGGATTACGATTTTCCAGTGAACGCCAAACAATAGCTTGGTGATGAGCTCGTTTTACGTTCCCTGCAAATGCATTATTCGTTGAGCATTACTACATGGTTTGGGTAGGGATGATGACGATATATTTCCAGTTTTGGATATCTATAAACAGCCGATATATACACAGTCGCCTGTGTAAGCATTGATTCTATTGGAGCGTCTACTACTCTGACGAGTGAGAAAGAATACAATCAAGCTCTCGCTACTTTAAAAGCTGTTCCTTTCCACACGACATATGTAACCGTGTCACATCCAGTACGAGCATGAGCTGGCAGGATTTCAATAGTACTGGACATGTTTCTCAGTAATTGAACCAATGTCAACGATTGTTCTTTCCTCGATTGGCGATTCGATTGTAAGCTTGTTATGGACAGAGCTCTTGGAAATCGATACCTGAAACACGTTGGAGGGTATAGGCATCCCAAACGGGAAATGTATCGTCATCATCCCCACCTAAACCATGTAGCCTTGCTCCAAAGAATGCATGTGTCGGGAAGGTAAAAAGATTTCATCACCAATCTATTGTGTGGCGTTGACTGGAAGATCGTAATCCGCCGGAACTATATTGCTGGGTTAAGAGAACATTAGAACCGGTCACGGTGCACTGGATTCTGTCATATGGCTCGTCAGATGTGGATGCAAGAGTGACGGCTCATGTAGTACGCGTGCTTGTAGCTGCACGAGGGATGGCTTAGATTATACAGTACATGTATTTTGCGCTTGTGCTGTCACAGTTTGCAGCAAGAAACACGACTAGAGGATTAAACTGAATATTACTTAGTGTTTCGCAGGTTATTTTTGTGTTTTGCGGGTAGAATTTGTTTTTTCAAATATTTGAAAAAAAACCAGCTTCTGCCTCCCTTTCCAGAACCGATCCACTTGGCTCTGGAGCTCCTGGTAGGCACGTGTGTAGTGTTATTGTATCACTCATATGCTCCTATGTCCAGAAATATATAGTTTGTATTTAGATATACATGTAGTTTGGTTTTGTGAAATAATGCCCCCCCCCAACCGCCGCTAACGAGTTCAAGCGTCATATTGTCTGGCATTTTGGATTTTACCATCATCTAATCACCCAACAACATAATGAACGATCTCAGTGTATTCATTGGCCCCCAAAAAACATACGGTTAGACACACAATTTATCATCCTAGACTCAATACTATGTGGGTTATAGGGGATTATTTGAAATGCCGGCCGTCTTGGACGCCATCTTGAATTTCTCAAAACGCTCAAGGGTGACCGAGGATCACCCGGCAGATTCTGAAAGAAGACACCCTAGGCTAGACACCAAAAGTATCATCCTAGACTAAAAACTATGGGACTTACAGGAGATTATTTGAAATGCCGACCGTCTTTGACGCCATATTGAATTTCCCACAACGCTCAAGGGTGGCCAAGATTCATCAAGAGGATACGCTAGGCTACTAAAATCAATCATAAAAAAAAACTGTGTATACAACTTCCATGTTCAGCCATAGTTCTGCCAGACTAATAGTGTGGTGAATATACTCCATAGGAGCTTCACTTTCAGTCATTACCTTCTGCCATTTTCAAACCAAGGTAGATCAGTGTCATTCTGAACATCATGTTGGCCCTGATAATGAATTTTATGAGTGCAAAAGTGTATAGTCTTTGAAAAATGATTTTCCATGTCAGAAAATATACGATTTTGGGCGCCATCTTGGATTCTGACAATCTCATTTAAGATAGTGCGAATGGACTCTACATCCATGAAAAGCATTAAATAGACACATTACAAGCCATACCTGACCTTTCTGAGTGATCTGTCAACCTCAAAACGTCCAAACATCTAGAAAAGGCCTGCAAGTTTAGAAAAAGTGGCCGCTGGCAGCCATTTTTGACAAGAACATTGTGAAAATATTATGGTGTAAGTTTGAGCCCGAGTGGACTTCTGTGACGGGTAGAAACCTTAGAAATTACGAAAAAAGTGAAAGTGAAAACCCCAAATAATATTTATTTTACAGTCGAGTTGTGTGAATATTCAAAAGAGATCTCTGAAACGAGAGGAGAAAAGTAAGTTCTGTGTAAAACTGAAGATATGACATTTATCTTGCACAAATGGGACCCGTATTGATTCGTAATTCACTGATTTATAAAATGGGGTCGTGTTTGTCAAATGGAAACTTTTCTTGATCAGTGCTGTGAGTGAGTTACCATAATCAATGTTGTGGGGGAGTTTCCATGAATGGCCTTGTGGGGGACTTGGCAGAATCCGCCTTGTACGGAACTTGGCAGAAACCGCATTGTGCGGGACATGGCAGAAACCATCTTGTGCGGGACTTGGCAGAAACCGTCTTGCGCGGGACTTGGCAGAAACCGCCTTGTGTGGGACTTGGCAGAAACCGCCTTGTGTGGGACTTGGCAGATACCGTCTTGTGATTCAAATGGTGATGTTCTCGTTAAAGCTGAACTCCGATTACAAAACTACAGAAATAATCAAATAGAAAAAAATGGTAACGCCCAGAACAACCGCCATTCTTGTTTTCAATTTCAAGAAATAACATGGCGATCGCTTTGGGCGGGCAAACACACAGCCAGGCCAGGCCCACTTCCAGTGTATACCGTGTGAAGCGAAGTGTCCACATCCGGTTAGTAAGTCAACTACCAATTACCTCCTGTCGTCCTGATTGAAGTTCTTTTCACTTTTAGCTCACAGAAAACATTATTGCTACACAATTATGTCGGATCAGGTACATATTATTTTACTAATTAGACGAAGTAAGTCAACCACGACGTACTTTTGCTCTAAAAATAACAGAAAAACTGCCTTAACCCAAACAATAACAAATCTGTAGTTTCGTAATCGGACTTCGGCTTTAATATACATAACTAAAGAAAGCACTAGGGCGACTATTGTGACATAAGTTAACATCCATAATTTGTTTTTTCAGTGTTTAGTATCGAAACTGTACAAATTGAGATGAGATCTTATTCTTCAGATACCGCCAATGCTATTGCACCGGATGGTGAACCACCTAGATATTATATATATTTCGGCATGCTTATATTTTTGCTATCCTTTGTTGTGTTTCTGATTATTGTAATGTCGGCACTCTGAAAGTCTTGGTAATAAAAGAAGTCCAATATCAAATTTAATATTGTTTTTTTTTATTATTTCTGTAGACGGCTCACTACCAGTTACAGTAAAAGAGTACACGCAGGCTAATAAGAAGTCGGCTATAGTTATATCTCATTGATTTGGTCCATTCCTTTCAAACTTTCGCTTCTTATCTATATATTAAAAGTCTTATTTTTAATTTGTACTAAAAATAAATGTGATACGAATTGAATTGCAACCCAAAACCTAATAGGCTAACGGTACCACAGCCATTGGAAACGTTACTTGATAATCGAGATTATGTAGGTGGAGTTAACACCTGTCAATCAAACGATCGACCATTCTCGGAGATGAAGAGAGAGCTGACTCCTATTTCTAGTCAAAAATTACAATGGCGATAACTTTGTTCAGAATAAAGTAATTTGACTGAAATTTTCAATATATTCTTCTTTCATCATCTATTTTTGAACTGTTATAGCAAAAATGGCCAACTCTCTATTAAAATCTCCCATAATGTATCTTTAAATTAATTATAATCCTTGATCTTTCATTGATTTTTGATATTTAAAGATACATTATGGGATATTAGATAAAGAGCTGGCAATTCTCACTATAATAGTTAAAAAATAGATTATGTTGGAATTCGATATGAGAGTAGGCAATAGTGCCGCTGTCCTGGCAAAATTTCCCTCAATGCATTCTGTATAGAGTATGCCCGTCTTTATTAGCCCAGTAGAAGCAGACGTTAAAGCCCATTTCATTTCATATTAATAACCGTGCAATTTTAGGGTTGTATAATTTTCCAAATGATCATCGCACGACATTTTCCTGCCATTCTTGAGTTATTTCCCGCCATTTTCATTTCATCTCTCATCTGTCCCGTTTTTCAACATCTAGATCCGTACTTTAAACTTCTGGAACGGGGAGTCAATTCGATTACAGCAATAAAAGTCTCAGTTATTTCACAGATTTCTTTGCCCGGGTGTAATGTTACTCACTTACTCACTATATGGTATGTTTACTTGATCTAACGTGAGTAGTTTACTACGGTGGCTGATAAGGGACATGAAAAATAATATAATTTGGTTTTTTTTTAATATTCACCCAAGTCAATTTTAATATAATTTGTTTTTTTATAATTTTCACCCAAGTCAATTTTAATTTTCACCCAAATCAATTTTAATATAATTTGTTTTTTGTAGTTTTCGCCCAAGTCAATTTTAATATAATTTGTTTTTTATAATTTCCACTCAAGTCAATTTTAATATAATTTGTTTTTTATAATTTTCACCCAAGTCAAATTAAATATAATTTGTTTTTTATAATTTTCACCCAAGTCAATTTTAATATAATTTGATTTTTATAATTTTCACCCAAGAATTTCCAAAAAATTATAAAAAACAAATTATATTAAAATTTAATTGGGTTAAAATTATAAAAAACAAATTATATTAAAATTGACATGGGTGGAAATTAAAATTGACTTGGGTGAAAATTATAAAAAACAAATTATATTAAAATTGACTTGGGTGAAAATTATAAAAAACAAATTATATTAAAATTGACTTGGGTGAAAATTAAAACTGACTTGGGTGAAAATTATAAAAAACAAATTATATTAAAATTGACTTGGGTGAAAATTATAAAAAACAAATTATATTAAAATTGACTTGGGTGAAAATTAAAATTGACTTGGGTGAAAATTATAAAAAAACAAATTATATTATTTTTCATGTCCCTTATCAGCCACCGTAGTTTACAGCATTTGAGAACTAAATTATTAAAGAAACCCGATTATGAACACTGAACAATAAAAGAATTTGTTTAAATAGTGATATGATATATTAAGGTACTAAAAAGTTATTTCATACTTCATAGGTTTTAAGAAATTAGTTGGGGGGGGGGGGTTGGGGGGGGGGGGGGGTAACAATCGCTGTAAAATTTGGTACAATTTTTTTAACATTATAAGTTAGCCATTTAAATGTAATAATATAGCCCATCCTTAGGTCTCAAGACATAGTTTTCTTGAGCTTGCTTAGATCATATTGTTAGCATGTTTATTAACTTGTCTATTTTACATGTAATTCATGTAATTCATTGTGTATAATTTTGTTGACATTTAAGTTCTTGTTAAAGGTCATGTACCATTAATAAACCCTTTGGAGCCCACAAGATATGTGTTTAATTGTTTGGGTGAAGTGTCAATCAAGATTGTCTAATAAAGAACTCCACTTCCTTAAATGGTGCCACATAATTTAAAGCTGTTTATCTTAAAAATGATATGCATATGTTTGCTATCATATAATAAACATCGCTACACATGCTTGCTGTATTGTAATATAACATCGCTACACATGCTTTCTATAATGTAATAAAACATTACTTTGAATTATTATTACTTAACCTTTATAGCCCTGTTTGGTAGCATAAAAATGTAAGATTAGGGCCCTGTTTAACAAAAACTTAAACTAAAATCACTAAAATAGATTTTAACTAAAATCAAACTAAAATTTTAAATTTTATACGTTTCACGAAGATCGATTGTAACTTGAAATGCAATTTTAATAGATTTTAGTTACAATTGCTTGTGCAGTGCACAATTACGGTGAGGGCACTTAGAGTGTAAGCGTACACGCTTCGGAACTGAAAACTGTTGCCAGGTTGAACTAACCATTACAATACCAACTAGAACTGCGAAGCAATAATGACGGGTTTCACCGGTGCCACGTTACCCTTGAACTTATGTCACTTCCGGTACCAATGAAACCGTTAAACATGTTTCCACATAAGCATTGCACACATGAAATAAAATGGACGCAGAAACAACCAAATCCAGCAATCAATTCATTTGCTACATGTCAGTGATCCTGTCAAAATTACATTACTTCCGGTGATAATGAAAATGTTAAATTGGTTTATGAAATCAGAAATAGCATCATCACATGGTGAAAATTTTATGTAAATCGAATAATAATTGCCACTTTTATAGACCAAAAACCTTGAAAAGTGACTTGTAGAAAATCGTCTATTTCTCTGCAACCGTACAAGTTAGAAACCATTTTCTGGAATCTGTATGATCGTATGGGTTCAATCTATTTGCTGATTGGAATCAAATATCATAATTTTAAAAACATAACAAATCAGACTCATTTGAATAAAATATCTGTTTTGAAGGCTAAAAATACAGTTTTTGCCAAAATGACGTTACTTTCGGTGATAATGAAAATCTTAAATTACTTGTATGAAATCGTAAATGGCATTAGGTATCACACAGTGAAAATTTCATTAAAATCGAATAATTGACACTTTAATGGACAAAAAACCTTGAAAAGTGACCTGTTGAAAATTGCCTATTTCTCCGATACTGAACAAGTTAGAAACCATTTTGTGATATTTATATGATCGTATGGGTTCATTCTTTTAGTTGATTAGAATCAAATATCAAAATCTTAAACAAACAACAAATACGACTCATTTGAATAAATTATTTGTTTCGAAGGCTATAAATACAGTTTTGGTCCAAATTTCGTCATTTCCGGTGACATTGAAAATGTTAAATTGAGTTGAACTAGTCACAATTGACATTATGCATCAAATGGTTTCACTTTTATGAAAATCCAATAATAATTGACTTTTTTACAGGCACAATAGCGTAAAAAGTGACTCATGCAAAATTGACCATTTCTCGGCAACTGCGCATATTACAAATTAATTGTCACAAACATTCTCTCCGTATAGGTTATTGCTACGAGTTAATGAAAGTTACGAAGTAATATTTTAAAATATGAAAACGCTGGATGGGTTGTAAATAGCTTAATTTTACACCTTTTTTTCACCTTTTAATCGAAATAGCCCGAAAACGGAATCGAAATTAAAAAAACTGGGCCCAACATTTTGTGCGCCTTTAAGGGGTGCACCCTTTCAGTTATACCAGATTTGAAAAAAATAATATTTGCTTTCGAAAAGTGGTACCTAACTGTCAAAATTGTAGTTTTTGGTAAAATTACGCCACTTCCGGTGCCGACAGATAACTCTATCGGTAACAAAAAAAAATGGCAATTGAGACATCGGATCATATGAACTTTGTTTTATAAAACCGAAGAAATCGTAACGATCCGACAATCAGTTGCTGAGATCTACTCAAAACAAAAGAATAATAATAATAAGAAGAACTAGACCTGCAAGCAGCACTGAACCGGCTTTCAGGAATCAGACAGGAAGTGTGTCATACAATAGCCCATTTATCGAGCTACCAAACGATACTTTAGAAGTTTTGATCCGGTCACACCCGACGGTGAAATCCCGATTGTTGCAAGAGCACCGTTTTTTTTACTGTCTTTTTTTTTTTAAATATCGAATATTTTTTTTGACTACGTCCTGTTTACGGATCATTATCGGAATAGATTTAACAAGTGGTATGGGAACTTAACTTCCTGTATTAAAAGTTTCAGAAAGATCCATTGGACAGTTTTACCTCCCTTATACCACTAGAAGCAGATTTACAGATATAACGATTTTTCGACTTTTTTCAAAGATTGTGGCCCTTTTGGACCATTTATACTTTATTGAGGCTTTTAAATTTGGATTCACACCCCAGACCAGCGTTAGGACTCTAAGTAACAGAAGTTTAAGAAAGGAAATAATAGTAATTTTCGCGATAAAAGCGTCTGAATAGGCTCCAAAAAGGAAAATACTAGATTTTCAGCATCTCATAATATATTACCTAACCAGCGATTTTTTACCATTGAGATGTCATAAGATCGCCCATTGTTCGGGCTATCCAATGACACTTTAGTTGTTTTGATTCGTTGAAATATGGCGTTGTAATCACTTTTTTCGCAAGATCACCATTTTTTACTTTTTAAGGTTTTTTTTTCAAAATATCGGATATTTTTTCGAGTACTTCCGGTTTTTGTATCATTGTTGTGATAGTTTTAACATGTGGTTTGGATAGTTAACTTTCTGTACCAAAAGTTTCAGAAACACCCACTGAGCTGTTTCCAAAACAAAGAATAATAGAAGAGCATTTTCAG